CGCCAGCTGAGGCGCGCGCTTCAAACCCCGGGAGGTGGAGTCCCGGCCAAGCAGGAAGGCTCGGGCGGTTGCCGCTGGAGGAGGAAGCGGTGGAGGAACTACGCCCGGGCGGCTCCACTCGGCGAGGAAGCCTGCGGCGTCGGGGCTTCCCGAGACCGTGGGAGGAGGATTGCCACGGAAGGGAGCGCAGGGCTCTGGGTCGCCGGCCCCGGCCGCTTGCACGCAGTGACTTGCGTGTGTCCAGTGACGCCACCAGCACCCGCATTGGGCAACCTCCGCGGAGGCTTCCTTGTTTTAGGGACTGATGTGTGTAGCATTGTTAAAGGAAGTGGTGCTAGATATCCAGATAATGGAAATAGCCCGAAATCTGTGCCTAGACAACACACACACACACACACACACACGGCTGCATCGCATTTAAAAGCTCTTGGAAATGATTGCTTTTAGCAGGGATCGCCTGGTTTCCTCCCAAGCCAGACTGCCACTCACAATTTTCATAAATCAAAGCAGGCAACCTTACAGAGATTGCCCTCTCCTGGAGGGGTCCAGCACAGATTACATAAACTCTGACTACACCTAAACTCTCTCTCTGCCAATCATAGCAATATTCAAGGTCGGTGTCCCATTGAAAACATAGGGTCGCTTGGGACAAAAGCAGCACAAGGCTTCCTGGCCCAATTTACTCTTTCATCACAGGACAGCAGGGTTTTCTGTAGCAGTAATTTGTACACCCAAATTCTCAGTACCTGTTGGCGAGGTAGTTGCTTCATGTACAGTCTCCACCACATTTTAGCACAAGCAGTCACTATACTTTTTCATCACTGTAAGTTCAAAGTTCAGATGCAGTATAATGGCCAAGTGCACGACCTTTGGATCCAGAAACATCTGCTTGATTCTAGTTTTAAGACCCGCAATAAGTTACTTAAATCCTTTGCCTCATCTGTTAAAATGAGACTGGACATACGGTATATATAGAGTTGTAACCATAATTAAATAAGTTGCTGTATGTAAAACACTAACCTCTGCTTGGAACAGAGTAGATAATAAACGATAGCTATTATTCTTGCAAATGCAAAAGCTTGTTTCATACTCAGTTTGCATTGGTCTGGGAAAAGTAATTCAGCGTGTATTAATACTCTGAAAATGCTATGTTAATTTTGGGAACAACATAATAAAGAACAATTCAGCTTCCTCTTCTATGTACCAATCATTATCTATAGGAATAATAGAGGAATATGCAAATTGTCCAGGACGCCATCACATAAAGACCAATCAGGATGGGGGGCAGGGCCATGGCGGAGAGCTCTCAACATGCCTGCACCCAGTGGAAGGGCTGGAGAGTAAGGGAGAGCAGATAGGCCATTAGGGCAATCAGGCCAGGAGGGGAGGGCATCAGGCAGACAGGCAGGTGAGCAGTTAGGGGTCAGTGGTTCCGGATTGTGAGAGGGATCCTGGATTGGAGAGGGTGCAGGCTGGGCTGAATTTCATGCACCTGGCCTCTAGTATTTATATAAAGATAGGAGAAAAACAGACTGACTATCTGGCTTTTAAATGCGCCTTAAAAGTTCATGCATGTCTCTAGATAATATACTTGGAAGTCCTCCCTCATTAGTTGAAAGTGACAAATCTTTGGGAATCCAGACAATTGGCCGGAAGCTTGTGGTTTCATTCTATGGAAATCCATTGATGTAACCTTCAAAACACTCACAAAACTGGAAGCTGACTCATAGGTGTTTTTCCTTTATACAATTTGCCTGTAGGTAGCACTCTAATTAAAAATGCCAAAACAACATATCAACTCATATCTGGATAGGTTTTCAACAGCCCAGCTTGGGAGAAAACCTGCAGGTCTTGGGCTCCATCTACAACAGAGGGTAAGGAAATGGGAGTCTTGTGACTTGAATGGCACTCTTTACCTCTCACCCTTATTGCATGCTCTGCACCCTTCATGACCTCTGACTCAGCCTCTGTGTGGAGCCACTGAGTCACCTCTCAGTATAAGGGTCTCCACATCCCTTACTGCCCCTCTTGCTGGAATCTAAAGGATTAGGGGCATTTTCCCATTTTGATTTCAACTTTGGAAGAGTACCTAAGCTTTGCACTAGTATTTCACACTCATCCTTCACAATAAATCACGCAAGGCAAGGACTACATTTACTTATCTACATTCATTCCTTCATTGTGCCAGGCTCTGTGCCAAAATGTTAAATTATGGTTTTAATTTTGTTTTGCTTTTATTAAGGCTTTTCTTTTCCAGAGAAGTTTTAGGTTCACAGCAAAACTGAGGGGAAGATATAGAGATTTCCATTATAACCTCTACCCTCACGTGTACACAGCCTCCTCCATTATCAACATCCCCCATTAGAGTGATATGGTACATTTGTTACAACTAATGAACCTACATGGATACTTCATTATACCCTAAGTCCATATTTACATTAGGGTTCACTTATGGCGCTGTACATTCTCATCTCATGGCACACATAAACTAATTACTAAACTTCTGTGTCACACCAAAATATACATTATATTTTTTTGCCCATCTGACGGAAAAAAATATAGGTATAATTTTGATGCAGTCACACTGACCAGCTGTTGTTGTGTTGGCTGCTGTCATTTTTTCATTTGACAGTCTAAGGGAAAAGAGCTTAGTATCCTTGACTAAATACTCAAGTAGCACATTTTTAAAAAATTTCTGCAGCACACCAGTTGAAAATTGTTGATTAAGACAAATGTATAATGACATGTACCCACATTACAATATGCTGAGTATCTTCACTGCCCTAAAAATTCTCAGTGCCCTGTCTAATTCATACCTCCTTCCTCCCAATTCTTTGCAACTACTGATCTTTTTACTGTCTCCATGTTTTTGCATTTTTCAGAATGCCATATCTTTGGAATCATACAGCCTTTGCTGATTGGCTTCTCTCGCTTAGTAACATGCATTTAAGTTTCTTCAAGGCCTTTTTATGATTTGACAGCTCATTTCTTTTCAGCACTGAAGAATATTCCATTGTCTGGACGTACCACAATTTATCCATTCACCCACTGAAGGACATCTTGATTACTTCCAAGATTTGGCAATTGTGAATAAAGCTGCTATAAATATCGGTGTGCGTGTTTTTGTGTGGGCATAAGTTTTCAACTCCTTTGGATAAATACTAAGGAGTGCAATGGCTAGATTGTATGGTAAGAGTATGTTTAGTTCAGTAAGAAACTGACAAGCTGTTTTTCAAAGGGGCTGTCCCATTTTGCATCCCACCAGCAATGAATGAGAGTCCTGTTTCTCTACAACTAGGCCAGCATTTAGTACTGTCAGTGTTTCAGATTTTGAATAGGATAGTGTTTTGTTTTGTTTTGTTTTAAAGGAAAGTTAAAAATCATGACTCTCAACAAATGTGTCAAAGATTTTATTTAACACAGTAGTGAGCAAGAGACCCAGAAGGGTGTTACAACCACTTCAAAGGAGAACCTAAAAACAAAGTAAATATGTAAGCCTAGGAGGATGCTGAAATGAATTAGCTTAATAGATGCAAAACTGGCTTCTTTCACACTGGAGAGGGATATTAATTGAACCTCTACTGAAAGCATTTCCCACTTATAATTAAGTATTATTTGCATTACTATCAGTTTTCTAAACTTTCTATTTCTCAGAGTTTCAAAGGCAAATCATTCAGTAACTCTGATACTTAAGTGATCAGTACTAACAAATGACTGGTGACACATTTCACCAGAAGGGAGGAGCTCATTTGGGGAGATATTGCTCATGGCCATGAGACACTTTTGTGGGGGTTTTCAAACAAACCACATTAATCAGCAAATCATTCAGTAACTCTGATACTTAAGTGATCAGCACTAACAAATGACTGGTGACACATTTCAACAGAAGGGAGGAGCTCATTTGAGGAGATATTGCTCATGGCCATGAGACACTTTGTGGGGGTTTTCAAACAAACCACATTAATCCACCCAATGGTCTTTTGACTTTGTGACAATAACAACTGCATTGGGCTATAATGCAAATGATGAAGAAAGTCGTTCAATAATAACTAACAACTGAAAATAATAATAATCATACCTAACAACTACCAGACAGTACTCTCTTTGGATGTGAGAGGGATGCTGGCTATACCAGTGTTCCTCATCTTTGGTGACACATAAATATCACATGAGCCTATGACAGTTCCTCAAAAAGTTAAACCAAATGTCCATTAACAGATAAATGGATAAGCAAAAGGTGGTGTATACATACAATGGCATATTATTCAGCCTTAAAAAGGAAGGAAATTCTGACATGTGCTAAAATATGGATAA